AGCCACAGGCGCCGAGCCCACATTGTCTATTTTCAAGTGGTCCCAGCTACTTGGGAGGCTGAGGCAAGACAATCGCTTAGGAGTTGGCAGTTGCTATGAACTGTGATACCATAGCCCTCTACTGAGGGTGACAAAAAAACATTTTTTAAAAGGCTCAGTGCCCATAGCACAGTGGTTACTGTCAGCCACATACACTGAGGCTGGTTTGAACCCCTCCCAGGCCAGCTAAACAACAATGACAACTGTAACATAAATATAGCTGGGCATTGTGGCGGGTGCCTGTAGTCCAGCTACTTGAGAGGCAGAGGCAAGAGAATCGCTTAAACCTAAGCGTTTGAGGTTGCTGTGAGCTGTGACGCCACAGTACTCTACTGAGGGCAACATAGTGAGACTCTGTCTCAAAAAAAAAGAGGAGAGGAGAGAAGAGGAGAAGAGCCATAAAAGTTCTAGAGCAAAGCACAGGCAAAATCTTTTTTTAGCTTCTGTGGGGACAGCATTTGTAAATATGGCTCAAGGTACCATAAAGCTATAAAACAAAGATTAATATATTCAACTCCATAAAAAATTTTTTTTCTTGCATGTGAAAAAAAGAACTGGAAGAATTTGTGTAGCTCAGAGCACAAATACATTCCATACTTTCCATAACAGATAAAGTACTTCCATGTTTAATAAAGACCAACAACCCAGTGGAAAAATGGTGAATGGATATGAGCAGATAGTTCACAGAAAGGGAAATTCAAATGGCTCCCAAAGATATGAAAGAATTTACAACCTCACTTATAATAAGAAAATGCAAATTAAGACTCTTGCTATTTTTTCACTTCTCAGATTGGCAAAAATCCAGAAGCTTGATCGTGCACTGTGTTGGCAGGGCTAAGGAAAAGCATACGTTGCTGGCAGGAATGTAAATTCTTCAACCTTCTGAAAGGACATTTGGCAACATTTTTCAAAAGCACAAATGCACACAGTACTTGACCCAACAATTTCACTTCCAGGAATTTATCTTACAGATAGAATCACACATAGAGAATATCACATGTGCAGAAGGTTTTTCCCCTACAGCATTGTTTGCAACAGCAAAAATTTGTAAACAACCATAAAGTCCATCAAAAGTAGTCTAGTAACTAGTTAAATGAATGATAAATGATGGTATAATAATGAAATATTATGCAG